TAACCTGAGGGGAGAAAGATGGTGTGTATATCTAGCACTTTGGCAATAATAGAAAACAATGTACTATAGGCTTGATAATCCTTTGAAAACTAAATGTTAATATAAGCTTGATTTTGGTTTTGCAAACCACTTTTTGTTGCTGGTGGTGCTGTTTTGAAACAGGGTCTTGCTGTGTAATTCAGTCTGGCCTTGAGCTCAGGGCAATTCTCTTGCCTCAGCATTCCAAGGGCTGGGATTATAGGTTTGTGCCACTATGCCCAGCAGAACATGTTTTTACAATTAAGCTCCGTCTAAAAATTCAGTGTTGTTTTCCATAATTGTTGCTGTTTGAGCATATTTAAAAAGCAGCATAGGTGGTTTCCTAATTTTTCCAAACTGAAATCTCAGATGAAGGCAGTCGCTATGGTTTGAGTCTGTGCATCAAGGGTTCACATATTGGAAGCTTCTTCCACAGGGTGATGTTGGAACTCTGTGGGACCATTGTGGGGTGGAGCTTCACAGAAGGCAGTTGGGGTGCTGCCTCTGAAGGAATTGGTGCAGCTCTTGTACAGCCCTGAGGAGTTGCCGTGAAAACGCTGTCATAAAGAGAGGCCTCGCTCTTTGCCTATGCCTGCCTCACTGCGTGGTGTCTTCCTGCAGTAGGCACTCTCGCCACTGTGATGCCGTCTTCCACAAGGTCCTCACAGAGCTCAGCAGCGGGCAGTGCCGTGCCCTTACACCTCCGAAAACCTTTTTTCATTAAAAAAGTAACAATTCTTGGGTATTTTGTTGTAGCAGTGGAAAATGGATCAATACAGAAAATACCACCAAAGGAAGTCATTGTTATAAATGTCCTTGAATGTGAGGAAGTGGCTCTAGAACTGAGTAACAGGCAGAGGTTGGAAAAGTTTGGAAGAATGGGCTAGAAAACTCCTGGAATGCCCTATGTGCAGTGTGTGTGAGGGCTGAGAAGGCAGATGGCTGGGGAACTAGTCTCGGAAGGAAGTGGGCTTTCTATTGGAGACGCTGGCGTAGAGGTCATCCTTGTGACCTGTTGAGGAAACTGGTATCTATGACCGAGAGCAGTGGTGGCGAACCTATGGCGCATGTGCCGCTACAGGCTGTTTGTTATTTTTGAAAGCCCTAAAGGTTCGCCATCACTGACCTAGAGCTTTTTGGAAGGTTGTGTTTAAGAGTGAAGACCCAGGATATTTAATGGAAGAAATTTCTGAACAGTAAAACACTCACCCTATGGAATGGTATTATTGGCTGTTTAGTCAGATTTACAGTGAGATTTGGGAGCAAAAGGAAAATTCAGTCTGGACAGGAAAAGAGAGAAAACATGTTCAGGAAAATGAAACAAGGGTATATCCCAGCTTGCTGAAGAGATTGTCATGGAAAAAGGGGAGCTGCATACTAAACTGTAAGGTAACTGGGAAGAGACCGTAAAGGTATCTCAGAAAGCTTTGAGGCTGCCTTTCTCATCGTGCCGTGGCCTTGGACATAGAGATTCACAGAACCGTGATGTACTCACCACGAGCATGCTGCCCAGGTCTTCCATGAGGTCCTTCCTGTTCCTTACCCTCTGGTGAATTACTCCGTGGCTGCAGCCTCAGTTCAGGTGCATTAAAATACAGCTCGTGCTTGTAGCACGCTCCGGTGTGTCTGTGTGGTACTGGTATTGCAGGTGTGCAGAGTGCAAGAGTTACAGAGTCATGGCAGCTTTGGCTGGGATTTCAAAGAAAAGTCTGGGAAGCCAGGCACAGACCTGCCACAGAGGTGGATCCAGTGCGGAGATTCTCCCCTGCTGGAAAGATGCCGGGGGGAGCTGTGGGAACGAAGCCACAGCGGGGCTCCCACAGGTATTGCAACCAGCTGCGCGCAGAACCAGCCTGACATCAGTCTGATTCCCGAGAGGGCAACCAACGGGGCGGTGAGCAGGAAAGCTGTGGGCATGGCCCCGGAGACCCTGGGGTACCCTCTGCGGTATCCACAAAGTGTTAGACCCGGGCCTTCAAGATTTAGCATCTACCCTCCCGGATTTTGTTCTTGTAGGAGACCTGTGACCCCTTTCTGTAGGCATATGTCTAGGAATGTTTATCTTGTGCCTGGCTGACCATTGTGTTTGGAAAGTATGTAACTTGTTTTTTTATTTTACAGCTCACACCTGGGGTAGATTTCCTTGAATTTTATGTGAGACTTTAGACTTGGACTTTTGAGGGAGGCTAGAGTGAACTAAGACTCTGGGACTCCTGGAGATGGAATGAAGGCATTTTGCATTGTGAGATGGACGTGAACCTTGAAGACCAGGGGCTGAATGCCATGGTTTGGGTATAGTATGAATAATGTCTCCCAGCGACTCATGTATTCGTAATAGGTCCTTAGTGTGGCCACTGTGTCCCCTTTGCCTCTCACATACGTTTCTGCCATATGCTGTCCACCATAACACAGCCAAGCATCCCTTAGCAGAGGCCAAAGAAATTGGGAAGCCAGACCATGGACTTTAAGCATCCAAAACTGTGAGCTAAATAAGCCTAATTTATTTATACTTTAGCCAGTCGCAGGTATTTCAGTATAGCAATAGAAGGGCTAATACAGTGGGCTTTATGTTGCCTTTCACTTAGGGTTGTTTACGCTCTGTGAGTTTACCCAGGTAGTCATTGCACCGCTGCTTAAACGCCGCCAGTATAGAGAGGAGTGTCAGGCGCGGCCTTTTCCCACTTCAGGTAAGGCATCTGCCGAATGCTTAGAGGTCTCCATGAGGTACAGAAGCAAATACCCTATTTACTGAAAGAAAAGGGAAAAGACTAATTGCCATTCAAAAATCTTCATGTCTTGTATACAGTAAGCCCCTGATTTATGAACAAGTTCCATTCTGGGAGAATTATTTGTAAGTCGTATTTGTGCACAAAATGCCAAAGTGGTGAGTCTTATACAGTACACCTGGGAAAGTTCCAAACTCGAATGTTCGTGAGCTGGGGACTGATTGATTGTATTATAAACTCAAGGAAGCTCTTCTCAAAACAAGTTTATTTATAGACTCTATTGTGAATCAGCAGAAGCGATGTAATGACAACAAAATGAAGGTTGGAGAAGCAGTCACACCTAATTTTGATTCCTTCTTGTTTGTCACTCACTTTGAACAGTTTGCATGGTGGACTTCTGTTATGCGAGTTAAATCCTATTAAATTTGGGAGCAAAGTACCAATGCACTATCTGACTCGGGTTGGTGTTAAATAAACCATAGCCAGTATAAGCATTGTTCTTGTGTTATTACTCTTTATCATCGTTATCACTAGAAACACAGAGGTGCTACCTGACTGTAATTGGCGCTGCCGGGATGTTTCTAAGGAAAGACGAATGTGGTTTGTGGGTACTCTGGGTTAGTTACCTCTCTTACTATCCAATTAAGGAAAAGTGGGTTAATGGGAAGATACCAGCCCCGATCCCCACTTTGCTCCACAGTGGGATTGTAGGGCCAGGTTTAACTGCCTGCTCACGTTCACAAATCCTTTTATTATAGCACATTAAAAGTATGAGCAGAAGTCAAATACTGACCTTATTATGTAGATAAAATATCAGCTAATTTCTTAACACACTAATTTGATCCTTTTGGTTAGACCAATGTGCTTAGCAAACATCTTTTCCTCTGTAAAGCTTTGATTTGTAGTATTTGCTAGTTTCCATGGTATAAATTCTTAAGGTATAACCAATTGCAAGCTCTCAGCATGAAGTCACTGAACACAGAGTTAGGAAGAGATGAGTCAGTGCAAGGAATCTCCACTACACCAATGGATCAAGTTATGCATCTGGTTTGAACAGAGAAGGATTGACATCAGAATTTACAAGCAGATGCAGCAGAGGGAAAGCCGTGGTCACCTAAGATTATACCACCTAGTGATGCCATAGCCATCACAATTGTACAGATACACTCCGGGATGTTCATACAATAACACAGTCACATAACAAAGCATTGCTCAGAATATATGCCCATGTTTAAGCAATGCATGACTGGCTTGTCACTGTGATATACCATGGAAACAGGATTCATCCAGGAAGTTATTTGCTGCCAGATTAACTAAGCAGTGCATTTCACAGCCATCTCTCTGCCCCTTTCTGTATACTCTCTAACCTTATTAAGAAAGAAATCTTTCCCAGATTCTTGTGATCTAGGAGGGAAAGACTCCCTAAACACTTCCCAATTAATAAATATTTCATTAACCAGCATCTTGGAGTTGAGCTTGTGACCATAAATGCATGTTTGTAGAAGGATCTTCTTTCCTTTCCCCGCTCCCTCCTCCTTTTCCTTCTATATCCTCTCTCTCCATGTTTCCCTGTCCCCCTCTTTATTCCCTTCCCTACTTTATTCACAAGTATTTTCTTTCACCTTCTGTTGTACTCCTAACAATTCCAAGAGATCTGCAGAACAGTTAATAGTATTCTTGCTTCACAAAAGTGGTACGGGAGCTACAAAACTACCTGTCCTGTATTATCCACATTCTTATTCTGATGTTTTTAAATTTTGAAAGCTTCGTTGCTGTTCAGATAGCCCCTTGCTTCCTTAACATGTTTGCCACAATCTGAGTAAGGTGTGTTCAATCTCTAGGCACCTTTTCCTGTACTGCCATAAATTTAATTTTGTTTTCTCCTACTCTGCCCTCGTAGTTGTTGAAAACTGTATCATGTTGCATCTAGGAAATTGTACTACAGTAGTAAAAGTACACTTCTGAGAACTTGTAATTACGCGATGATGCCTAGAGCTTCTCATCATAGTTAAGTCCCTGGAGATGATAAAACAGAATTCTCTGGAGAAGTAGTCCTGTTTTCAGCAGCTCATCCCCATAACGGGCAGAATTGTTACCAGCTATCTTGGAAGGGTGACACCAGCTGATGATTTTGTCAACATAGTAGATTAAAAAAAATAAAACAGATCTTCTCACTAAAGACCTTTTAAATTTTTCCGAAAGCCTCATAACTTCAACTGAAGAGAAGATATTTGAGACATTGATTTGTCATTTACCATGAAGCTCTCTGCAGACCTGCTAGAGATCATCACCTGTGCCATTCTAATCCTCGTGAGCTTTGTAGGAAACATATGCTTATTTTGTTCTACAAGGAAGTGTATCACTGGACGTTTACAGACATCATTTTTTCTAATTTTCAGCCTTGTGTTTGCCCACCTTATTAAGAACTTGGTGGTAAATGTCATGAAAATTGTTTATTCTTCTGGTATCATGTTGGATTCAGCAGGCTGCAAAGTTCTGCACTTCTTGGCAGCCCTGACAACTTCCCTGGCCATCTGGTTCATGTTATACTTTGCGTTGTTCTATCACCTGAGACTGTACCAACTTGTCTACCCCCAGAGCGATGCTGCGAACGTTGACCGTCAGAAGCATTCCTTGAAGGGGATTTCTGCACTTTGGGTGGCTGGTGTGGCTGTGTACATACCAGTTTTAATTTATACTAGAAAACCAGAAAACCTGAATGCAGGAAATGATACAGACGCCTTGTCTGCAACGAGGATTTACATGGATTGCTTAATTGTCTTTGGAAACCAGCAGGTAGAGTTTTACTATGGGAAAATATTTTTAGTTCTGATTGATATTCTTCCTTTAGCCATCTTAGTCTTTGTCTGTTTCTGGATGTCTTTCCTCCTTTCAACAAAAAAGAAGATGACATATGGTGACGTCTGGATTGGCGATGGTGATTCAGAAGTTGAGGTCCTTAGAGGAGCCAAGTTCAGTATTTTATTAGTGCTGCTGATCACCCCCCTGTGGATCTCCCACTTTGTCTTAGTCTGTTTCTTGAATGACTTGGCAGCATGGGTCTTCGTTCCAGCCGTGCTCACAGCCCTCTCTTCAGGCTTTTCTGCTCTCAGTCCTTTCCTGCTTCTGCTGGTTAATTACAAAGTGAAGTTGGTGTCATTCTGTGGTGCCAAAGAGGGAAAATCCACACCACAGCCTACAAATGCCATTCTTTCTCCATATGCTTAATGGCAGTGAGCTCAATTTCAATCTCTGGAAAACAGGCCCTGTCGCTGGAGGACACGCTTAAAGGTCTCATAGCCCTTGTCAGTAGGATTTTTGAAAGGACCACTAGAAAAATGACTGCTGTCCAAATAGACTTCTGAGGGAAACTAAGAAGACATAAAAACACTAAGTTACTGTAAAGTGAAGAAAAACAGTCATCACAACATTTGTTATTTAAGATAATGCCAAGATTTTTAATGTAAAAATTGTAGAGTCATTAACAGTAATCACCATCTGGAAATGAATGCAACATAAACACTGTATTAAGTATTTTCTCTGTGCAGTGTGTTGTGTAAAAAAACAACATATCGTTGAAAGTGAGGACAACACTTCCTAGATGAAGTCCTAAAGATACTCCTGAGTAATCTTATGTTCTCGTGTTGTGTTTTCCTTGAAATGCTTCCACACATACTGGAAGTACATTAGGTAGGTGTGCAGTTTTCAGTTTTTGCACTTTTAATCCTAGTTCCTCATGTGAGCAGGAAACACATTTATTCACTATCCTTACCTTGTGTCTTTGCTAATTATGGCTAGATAAAATCATCAGATTAAAGAATCACTACTTGCTAAGTCTTACTCTATATAGACATGGCAATATTTGGGTACTACAGACATGAAGTCTACTATTCTTGTTTAATCATCAAAATATATATCACACTATATTCTTTTCCTCAGGAAAAAGAACATTTATTTTAATGATAATTTATTTGGTTATTAAATTGATATTTTTGTAAATCGTAATAATTTTAATTATAATAATTTGGTTTCTGTACTTGGATTCAATAAAAACAAACACATTCTAATTCTAATTCTAATTAAAAACTACATGGCCAGCTTCTTATTTTTCATAGTTAGTTAGAAGAACAATTTGGATTGATTTGAATGCAGTGAGTAATAATTTTAAATATCTATTATACATCTGTGTAAGCATTGAATTTTAAGTTTATTCTTGTTAGAGTCTTACATTTTTTTTCATTTTCCTTTTGTATTAATAGACTGAAATTTATTATACCATAATTCTGCTGAGTGAATATCTTGAAATTGAGATTATTACTCTTAAAAGGCTGTGCTGAATATTATAAATCTGGATCTCATTTACAGAAGAAACTTAAAACATCTTTGTTGCCCTTAAGTGCTGTAGAGAGAGGAAATTTTAAAGTAACCAAAGCTCAAATTTTGTAGGGTTGTAGGCCAGTGTCTGTCCCTTGTTAGCCCCTTTTGTAAAGATAGACTTAAGGCCTTCTGAGATTTCTGGGTGGTCTTCGTGGGAAGTGCTTAGCTGAGTCCACTGAGGCAGTTTAGTCAAGAGGGTACTAGGCATAATGAAGTTAACATCTCGGGGGAGGGAGGATGTGGGGAAGAGGTAACCATCTTCTAATCCAGTGCAGATGTAGCCAGAGCTGGGGATGTCCCCTGATCTCCACTAGTGGCTCTCAAGCATGGTTCTGGGACCAGAAGAAGTTTCCAGCATGATCTGGAAACTTGTTAGAATTGCAGATTCTTAGGCCTTGCCTCAGGCCTCTTCAATCTGGGTTGAACCTAGAAATCTATTTTAATAAGACTTCCAGGTGATTTTCATGCTTCCTACAGCTTGAGAACCACAGTCTAGTGTCACTTCAAAGTTCAATTCCCACAGAAGATCAGAACGAGGCCCAGATAAGTGACTCCGGATGTCCTTTTCTGTGTCGCTGTCAGTTGCCAGTGTGGTCTCTGCCTCGCGCTGAAATGGCAAGCAGGGTTGGCATCTGTGTGCCACGCATTCTGAGTAGTAGTTGCCAAATAAATCCACTATACAAATGAATCTTTTCAGAGTCAAGGATTAAGCCTGAACACTTCAGGTGTGCCAAAAGTTTGAAACTACTTTTCAGTACAAAACTCAGAATCCAGCCTCCAGATTATCCCATGGTTATTTTCCAGAAGCCAGTGCAGGACATGATTGGCATAAGCTCATGCTTTACTTCCCAGTCCCAGAAATCTTTCCTTTTTCTTCCAAAAATTCATTTTTTTTTTCCTGCTTGGGCCTCATTGAATCATAGTTTGTCCTTGTAGAATTGATAAATTTTCACTACAACACAGAATCATATGCTTACTGAATAAACAACATTCTAGTTATCTTTTTAAATTTTTTTGGTTTTTTGGATTTTTATTTTTGTTTGTTTGTTTGTTTGTTTGTTTGAGACAGGGTCTTCCTGTGTATTTAAAGCTGACCTATGTAGCCCAGACTGGCCTTGAACTCATGGCAGTCCTCCTGCCTCAGCCTCCCAAGAGCTAGGATTATAGGTACACACCACCATGCCTGGCCCAGCTCCAAAATTATTTTTCTTCAATTCTCTTATGTACAACTCCCTTTTCCCATCCCTTAACCTCCCTATTTCCTTCAACTTCCTGGTGGGGCCAATATCTCTACTAAGTAATATAGAACCTTAGCCAGAATAGACAGAGCTATGCTATGGATGAAATAGAAAGGATAGGGATGCAAATTACAAATCATGCATACCCTCTGCCTTCCTCACAGAGTTATGTAAATAAGAACAACTATATTGAAAGTGATTTGAAAACAGAAAACGCTACAGAAGCTGTGTTGCTTTGACATTGCAGTTCTGGTGAGTTGAAACAGGAAAGGTGTCAGACTGAGTCTCTGGCTGTGTATCTGTGAGGCGATTGCAGAATCTTTGGAGCCTTGGTTTCCTTATCTCAATGATGGAAATTATAAAGATATTTTTCTCCCAGGATCCTTATGAAACACAAGGTAAGTGACAGAGAGTATATGTGAAGGTACCAAGTTACAGATCCTGGTGTAGGATTTCCTTTACAGAATGTTCTGACTGTTCCCCTTAAGACAGCAAGGAGGAAATGTTGCAGCCTTCCCAAGAGCTATAGCAGGCTCGTTTATATCACATTGTAACCTGTGTTTTGATGCCAGATGGTCGCTTGCATTTTTTTCAAGCATACCAGAAGATGTCGTGTTCTGTTTACCCTCAGGCCTGCGAAGTACCACCCTGGCCATCCCTATTCATCACCTCACTTTGGTTCTCACCCTTCAACATCCCTTTTCAGAAGCAAACATTCAGCCATTTCTCCTTTAGAATTCTCGTTCTAGGCCCTTGGCCATGCTGTCCCCAGTCCTGGAGCTCTTTTCCTCCCCTGCCATCACTTTTACTTTCTCCCTCATCTGTCCCCTTTTAACCTGTCTCAGGAGGTTTCCCTTGTCATCAAGGTGTCTCAGACTGGTGTGCCTTTGTCTCAGCGAGTACCGCCTTCTATGGGCATGCCTCGTTTCCTTGTCTCTCCTTGTGCTATAAGCCCAGTGGCACGGAGCACACACAACTGTTACCTAGTATGTGTGGCCCACTGTTCCATGAAGAAGTCAATAAAATCCACAGGGCTTGTGCCTTCCCACTCTTACTCCATGTGTACCTTTTGGCCCTCCTTTAGTTGTCCCTTTCAAGTAGACATTTCTTGCCTATATCATTTTTCTGATTCAAGACTAGGCATTTGGTAGGGCCGGGGATTTAGCTCAGTGGTCCTGGCGCCTGCCTCGCAAGCAGAAGGACCTGAGTTCGATCCCCGGTACCAAAAAAACAAAAAAAGACTAGGCATTTAGTGATTGTCATGCTTCCAGCCACTGTTGAATCCAATTCTTGGAATGAGTTAGTTTCTTGCCAGCCAAGCAACGGAGCCAATGAGAGACAATAGTTCCACCCCAGCTTTCCAGTACTTAGTTTTTGATTTTTTTTTTTTAGCTCTTATATTGAAGAAAGTAAGCCCAATATCTATATACAGACTTTCAAATTAAAAATGTATCCTAGAGTACATCTGTCAGTGTTCATGAATCCAATTCTTGGAATGAGTTAGTTTCTTGCCAGCCAAGCAACGGAGCCAATGAGAGACAATAGTTCCACCCCAGCTTTCCAGTACTTAGTTTTTGATTTTTTTTTTTTAGCTCTTATATTGAAGAAAGTAAGCCCAATATCTATATACAGACTTTCAAATTAAAAATGTATCCTAGAGTACATCTGTCAGTGTTCATGTATATGCACGCATATGCTAGCATGTGTGCCGTGTGTGTGTGTGTGTGTGTGTGTGTGTGTGTGCGCGCGCGTGCGTGCACAGGAAGTGGCTGCATTTTCCCAAGTGTTGGTGAATTAACAATTAAAGAAATAAGCTGTAATGCAAATCACAGTTACCTCATCACCAAATGCCCTCTGCTTATTTATTTTGACAAGCCCAGCTTATTTTTAACTACCAGGCCTCCATAAACTGGTAAATGTAAGAACAGTGACTTTGGCAGAAAGAGAAAAGTATGTAAGTTGAGCCTTGAGAATGAGTCCACGCTGACTCCTTGTAAAGTGGAGTGAGGCAATGCGTTTTGATAGGAATTGCAGTCGAGCAATGTGTGTGATGTGTGACTGGAGCCACAAATCAGGGAGCCTTTTATGAGCCGAGCACACCAGACTGTGCACTTTGAAATGAATAGTTTCCCAAGGAACCTTTGCTAGCCGCTCCAAGCCTTTTCCAGTGATGCTCCATCTCCAGCTGTTTGGAGGTCTTCATTTAGAATTTTCCTCAGTCAGTTTTCAAATTGCAACAAACAAAAAAATGTTTTAAATGTCACATGAAAATCGTAACACTGGTGTAGGGAAAGATTTTTTAGTGGGTTCGCTGTGTTCTGTGACCCTATGTGGCTCTGTTACTTTTAGCTCTTTCCCCGCTGAATCTTTCCTTGAAGGAAGCTGTGGGGCCATCACTGAGGTCACTAACGGGAAGGTGACAGAATCACTGGACCCGTAGGGCCGTGTGCCCTTCACAGACTTTAACAGGCTCTAGAGGGGCCTCTGCAGTTGGCAGTCTATCCAAACTGAATAGTAGGAGACACTGTGCATGGTTAGTATTTTTTGCTTAGGTCTTTATCTCCTTAAGCAAAGGATCACTTGGCAATTGGGTTAGGAGAGCGATGGCAAGCCTTTTGGAGCTTTCAGTGTTAATGTCCTGCTGCATTGTGCGTGCCATAGGCTCACCGGGGTTACCCTTGGGAACACCCAAAGAAGTAATGACCAAGATGTCACCAGCAGCCTCTGTGCAGCATGGAGTTCCCAGCAATTCAGGTTTTGACCCCATGTTCTAATGTTTTCCTTCTTTACCTCCCTGTCTTCTACCCAAATCAGGAGGGCTAAACCACTGAAAAGTTTTTCCTTGACCTTTCTCTACTCATCCACCCACTGCCTAACCTTCACTTCTCTCCACACTTTCAAGAAAGAGTTTAAACCACTCAGTAGACCTGTCTAAATGAACAGCAAATGAAAAACTGCCTGTGCAGTGAAAAGAAATGAAAAGCTCAAATGAGCTAGAGAGAGACGATTTCTAACAGTTAGTACTACTTGCGGTAGACAGATACTGAGACGTGTGTCATGGGGACAGGGCCTGTGGTGCAAAAAGAAGCCCTCAGGAAGCATCAGAGACGCCTAATGTGGCTACAGTTCCCAGGGTCAAGGCTGATGGCGTGGGGTGCAGTGACAATTTGTAAATGACTAGGTCCTGAGATCCCCAGGGGCTCAGGTGGGAGTGAACTGTGAGGCATAGCAGTGAGGATCTCATGTAAAGGATTTTAAGCCGATTGCCCTTTCTGGGAGCCTGAATAACTGGTTTTCACTTAGGCATAGGCCTGTTCTTGTTGGTCTGAGTAGGGCCAGCCCTCTTGCCTCGAAGCTGCTTCTCTGAGCCAGCCAGAGGGGTCTTTTCCTGGGCTTGTTTTTGGCATGGCTTCCTCCTTTCCCCTCCACACACGGCCGTGCAGTGGCACCATCAACTCACACCAATCATAACAAAGCAGGAACCTTTCCATCCTCCAGTTGTAACGTGAAAGAAACATGATCCCCACCTCATAACGTTTTATTTTGTTTGCAGAGGTTTTCTTTTTCTGGTACTAAGAGCTAAAATGGAGACTATGGAAGCACAAATCGTGACGTGGCAGTAGTTTGTAAGAAATTTTATTTTTGTTGCGTGGTGGTATGAGAGTTTAAAATGATCTTTAAATACAGATTCAATTTTAGAATACAAATGAAGTAAACATTTTTGGCAGGAAGCTCGAATTAAAGAGAAGGGAGAGCATCAGTGGTTGTAACTGTGATTTAATACTGAATTCCTCAGAGGGGTCCAACCTCAGATGTCTTCAGGGCTGGGCAGGGCACGTGGCTAAGTGAAGCATCAGAGAGGGCTCTGGTGACCTGGGGAGCATGGAGTTTGCAAACAGGTAGAAGCAGCCACCGCTCAGCCCTAGCCAGTTGTTGTCATGGGGATGCAGACCTTTGTGCCAGAACTTCACATATTTTTAAAGCAAAGCCAGAATTCCAGAATTTTATATGAAATCACCCAAGTCTACAAGTTGGCAACTGATTGGACTTTTAAAAACACTGCTAGGGCCAAAAAATCACATCTGTGGGCCAGACTCGGCTCATGGGTCTCTGATGTGTGACCGGTGTAGCTGGGCTTTCTGTTAAAACGCATGTGTTGTCAGTCAGAAGAGGGGAACTGTTGTTTCCCATTATGGATTGGTCAGAGACAGCAAAAAATCAGGCTGAGAAAATCAGCCAGAGTCCATCCAGCTCCGTTTCCTGTCCAGCCTGTTTCCTCATTTGCAGTGCTGCCCTAGCTCCCTTTCTCACCCCTCATACCTTAAAAGGGAGCGCCCAGAGGTCCAGATGCTCGGTGCAGAGGCAGTAGACAAAGAAGAGGACAGTGATGGCCACTGGGGCAGCTGTGGACTCATACTTGACTCTAAAGGAGCAGTTGGGAATGTGGCCAGCATTGCTGAACCATTGAGATTTCTGCACAGTATCAGTGATACCACAAAAACTCTCACTGAAACCAGACCAAAGGAGTTGTGTTATACACAGAATAAGACATCTTAAAGCAGATGGCTGTGTTATTCCAGCCTGCTTGAAAGTAAAGCTCAGATGCTGTGGACATTTGGTCTGAGTCATCCAGCCCATTTACACATATGCAGTGGGCCAGATCTTCCAAAATGAGCTGGAGCTCTTGTAACTCTTAGCTTCAGGCTGGCAGAATAAAGAAGATCATATTTGTCTTAGTTACTTTTCTTGTTGCTGAGACAAAACACCCAGCACCCAAAGTTAAAGGAAGAAAGATGTATTTAGCTCACCATTTGTAGAGGTTTCAGTCCATAATCAGCTGGCTCCAAACAGGGTGGCCTGGCAGGAGAAACAGCTCATGACGGCAGACAGAAGACAGCAAAAGCAATGAGACCTTGACAGCGTCTTTCCACACCTTTTGTCTTATCCAGACTACTTAGAGCAGGCAGTGCTCACACCCATAACCCTAGTGCCCTAGAGCCTGGTGTTGCACCAGGAATCAGTTCCAGCATCACACGCTCTAGCTCCAGCCACCTCTGGAAAAGCCCCACCTGTGACTGTGTGAGGCTTTAGGGGGACATTTAAACACAAGCCATAGCAACTACCATTCTCCAAGTGCAGACACAAGGGTACCCTGCTGTGATACCCTGATTTATGTTGCCCTGGGTTATGTTTCATTCGAATAGCTACACCCAGGTGGAGGCTGCCCTCTGTATGGTCACGGCATCTCATATAGGAGTTTCTTAAAGATCTCGAAGATCCTCAGCTCTGACAGATTTCTCCGCTTTGTTTCCTTGTATTTTCATGTTCCTGATTATTCTGAATGCAGTGCTTTTTAATTTTGAGCTGTTCCTTAAACTCCACAAATGATACCATCATAATAAACAGGAAAAAAATCGTATGTCAAACCCATCCCCTCGTTTATTTTTCCATGTCTCCTCTTCTCACACGCACAGGTCATTTTTACGTGTGGTGGATAGAGTCCGTCCAAGGAAGGGTTAGGATACAACTTCCTGTCGTTTGCATTATACAGTACCACATCCCAATAGCCAGCGCCATCTTTGTGGTGTTCACCAAAGCCACGGAACAGAGTCTGTAAGTGAACAGTTCACGTGGCAGACAGATTGAGTGGGAAGATACTGGATTGGAAGAAAGTCTATTAGTTGATAAGCTGGAATCTAAACACTCTGGATTGTCTCAGAATCTGGAGTAGAAAAGAAAGTTATGTTTAGTAATTTGCAAGTGTGAGCCTATGTTTTCCTCTGGAAGGCTCTGTGTAGACTACAGGGAAAGTAATAAACTTATATGCCAAGAAAATTGTTTGAGAACCTGCGCTAAGATTTTTATCAATAATAAATATCTGGTTTTAAATAGTTTTTATAAATACAAACTGATATTTTTGCTTTAAAAAACTTGTGTGATTTCAGAAGAACTTTATCCTCTTGTAAATGGATAGCCTCATTTGAGCATGGAAGTAGTCTCCTTATCCTTTTCGGATGGACTCTGCTATAAAATATGGCAAAATGACAAACGTGGGAAAGGAAGGAGAGGAAACGAACATTAAATCAGGTGATGGGCTTGATACTTTTGCTTTGTATCATAATTATACCATTTGTATGACTTTAAAAGGAACAGCTCAAAATTACCATATTTAGCATTTCTTTTTAAAATAGGCCTTTTTATATTTTGGGAGAGGGGGGCGGTTACCCGGGATTGAACTACTTAGGACCTTGTACTTGTGAGGCAGGTGGCAGCAACACTGAGCTAAATCTCCAGGCTCACCTTTTTATGTTCTTGATCTTGTATTGGGAGGCCCCTTTCCATCAGCCTCGATATACTTCCACTTTCAAGTAATATGTCCTTACTGCTCAGAAAAGCATACCTCGATTAGAGAACAGATAGAGGCTAAAATGAATCATTTCAGATACTCAAGTTTGGGTCCATATGATGATTTTTGTGATAAGAAAGACAAGTTGCAGACATGGACTGCTCTTTCGATACCTGAGAGTAGATGTGGCAGAAGATGACTGAACACCAAGGCACGACCAGAGACCTGTGTTTCTGTTCTGTTTTTTTTTAAATTGAGTTTATTGGTACATTTTAGGTATACAGTCCAGTTACATTCATCATTGGGATCTTGCACCTCTACATGACAGGTCTTGGTTCTCATTTTTTTCCCCTTGTCCCTGCCCTGTTCTTGACATCCGTGGGTACCGCTCCCACTACCAACTGTGGTGATAAGTGATGGGAAGACAAAGTAGGCGGTGATGTGTCTTATGTGGACAGGCTTAAGGGATGGCCACAGGCCGCCCCGAGGCAGTACTGACTGGGAACATTCTGACACCTGCATCTGGTCGCTCTGGCACAGTTGGGCAAAGTGTTTAAGCAAAGGGCATTGAGGGCATTGCAGCGGTTCTGAAGTCTAAATCTAGACTTAGATATTCTCTCTCCCTTTCTCTCTCTCTCTCTCATGTTGAACTGGAGGTTGTCATTGTACTATAAATTCTAAAATATCTGTCACTCTTAATTAGTTGATATTAGTTGATATCTGTCTCATACAAGTGCTCTGGAGAGTCGCTGTCCATGGCTCTGTACACAACACCCAAGGACAGGCCAGCAGGAAGTACTCCGGTATGGTTACCCTGGATTGCTAGGCTGCTTCCCTTTCCTGGAAGCCCATACTTTCACCTCAGGTGGAATGAGCAGCATGTGGGTATTGAAATGAATCCTAATACTGATCACAGGCGGAGAGTCTATCCTGAGTTTCTGCTCTGACAAAAACAAGCAAGCACAAGTAAAGCAACTGGCGTGGGTGCTAAGTGCAGAGCCAGGAAGGAGCTCTGCCCACTGCTCTGAGGAGCCCACGGGGAGGTCTAAAGAGAGAAAAGTACCCTAGGCAACACTAGCACCCAATTACCTTTCATATTTTCTTCCAATATATGTAATATTCTTAGTTATAAATAACTTTTTTGCCTTTTTTCTTCTGCTTCTGTCTTGTTCAGGAAATTATAATTATTTGACCTCACTCAAAATGTGCAAAGAAGAATAATGGAAGCCCCCGAATACCTTGATTTGGATGAAATCGACTTCAGTGATGACATATCTGTAAGTATTACGACGTGTGAGCAATGTCTTCAGTGTTGCCTTCATCTTCGTGGGCTGCTTTCTCTGTTAAGGTCTTCATTTCCACCACTCATCCAATTATATCCAGGAACTGAAAACAGAAGTACCACATGAATTACAAAGTGTGCTTTGGGGTTCTCAGAACCGGAGAGTGAATCCTACCTAACCGTGTGTGCAGGGAGGGTAAGGGATTTAATCTCAGTGAACCTCCAATTCTCAGTCCGTTCCAGTACTGTAACAGTAATTGCTGAGTGTGTCCAGAAACTGTATGCCTATACACATACTTAACGCGATGAATGTTAACTCCCAATTTCCTTACTTGGCTGGCTCTTTCACAGCCAGACCCCTTTAGGGTTCACAAGGACACAGCAACCATGTTAAAATGTATTAATTGATGAAAACAGAGAAAGTTTTTCAGTCAATGAATACGAGAGCAGAGAGCAGACATTTCTTGGGAATCCCAAAGCAGAATAACATCTTATCCCAGCTGACTTTGTGATGTCCTGGTTAATTCCGTGACACCACGGGCTGCTGAGTCTCTGAGTCCCCTACAGTCACAGGCTCCTGCTTCCAGGGTCCCTCGGGCTGTTCTGAGTGGACTGTCTGCAGGGACCTTGCTTTATCCTAGGCCACATGGTCGGTGCTGCCTCACCTGCAGACACGTCAGCCTGTAAGTGTCACAGCAACGTGGGCACTCAGAGTATGTGGTGAGAAACTTGTTATTTCTGAAGTAGCTATATAATGCTTCTTTCTGGGAACTCATACTTTCTGACTTTATGTCCCATTAATCTGTCTGAGCCTAGAGCTTCTTTGGGTCACCACCAGAATAGTTCTGACATGATGAGTTTTCTTTAACATGCCTTTGACAGCAGTTTCATCCTCTGCTCTACTCTGTACCTTGAAGTAAAGCATCTGTACTGTACAAAACAATTCAGTTACTGGGGTAATTTCTGTGAATCACCTGTTTTGTACAATCTTGGAAACTCTAGTACCAGAGAAATGTGAATTCAACCTTTGTTTCCAGACATTTTTTTCACTTTTTAAAAATACATTTTATTTCGTAAATGCGATATTGTAAAATTATTAGCTTAATGAGGCAAATTAACATATATATTACCTCACATAGTTATCCTTTTAAAAAGAAATTGTGGCAGGCACAGCTAAAATCTACTTATTCGATGGGAATCTCAAACCCTGGACAGTATTATCAGCTGTAACCCAATGTTGTACATTAGCTCTCTAGACGTCCATTTTACATATCTGTTACCTCGTATCTTCTGCCCTACATCTCCTTTTTATTTATTTGTTAGTGTTTTCATTTTATTCATGTATGGCAATTTTTACTAGTCCTCATACAGAGTAGTGCACAGTGAGCTTCCTCCTTACCATAACATCTGTCTGTCTCAGTCACGGTGCTTGACTTCAGAGGGTGGTTCATTTACAAGGCATTTTGATTTGAGCAGGGGAAAGCAGAGTGAAGGAAGGTGGGAGTCAGAAGGTGCAATCGGAAAGGAAACTTGTGTTATGGTTAGGAGCTGCATGGTAGCTCTCTGTGGTTTGACAATAGGGTTGTCTTTTGAAAGCAGCAGCTTTGAAGGCAGCCAGCCTCAGTACCTACCTTGTCCTGGCCTTTGCTGGCTGGAGAATTTGGTGGGCTACATTGACTGCATCTCTCTGCAATACTCGTGCAACTTGTGACACTGCCTTGAGGACTGGGTGAAGTAATAATATATGTGAAACACTTAAGCTTAGCACACATCATGCAGCTCTTTAAAATGGTAGCTTTTGTTGTTATTTCAATGAATAATACAATAATATTTATATGACCAATGGTGAAGAAAGAACTCAAGGGAAAGACCAGGCATGATGTCGAAATAATTAAGTACAACAGAGCAGTTGTATTTACAGAAGAATCATCTGGCAGTAGCCCATAATTTTGATGAATTGGGAAGCTCTACTTGAAAGATAAAATATATTCAACAATAACTGAAGCTTTTTAACAAATTAGACTACAGCATTATGTAATAGTTGAGCTTCTATAACTTGACTACTCTGAAACATAAAGATGTCCATCTGTAATGTTCTGTTGGTTGCAATTTGAACTGCACTTAAAGTGAAATCTGTTTTGAAAATGCATAGAATTGATTAAATTATAAGGGCAGATATTTATTGAGCACTCACTACAGGACAAGCATTATTTTATTTAACCCTCACAACAACCCTGTAAAGATGGTACTATTACCTTCTCCCACATCCCACCACAGGAATGTTTGACAGTACCTGGAGACACTTTTCCTTGTCACACCGAGAGGTCCTACTGGCAATCAGTAGGTACAGGCCAGGGGCGCTTCTAAACATCCTGCAACATACAAGACAATCTCCTACAGCAGTGAGTCATCTAGCACAGACACTGATAGTACCAGGGGTGAGAGTCCTGGTCTGTCTGATCTTGAAACTGAGGAAGTTCTGCTTTCACTTCAAACCCTAAGCACAATAGTTTTATCATAGTTCGGTATTGTCCACGTTGGATACTTTAAATATGTTAGAATTATACTATCGTTACTTAAAAGATTTCATGAAGAAAAAAAGGAGAGATCGCCTCTTGAATATTGACTTGATTGCTTTCAGCTTATTTAAATAAAGTAGGAGCATCAAATATTATGGCTGCTTTACAGGCTAAATGGAGATTATTCAAATGCTAAAATTGAAAAATGACATGTTTTCACTGTGTTAATTCACCAGCATAAAAAGAAATTTGTTTTGTGTCCTGTGAACATGGTTTTATTCTTAGGGTTCTGTAAACCTCCATCTCTGACAGCCCTTTGACTCTTTACTCGTTAAGTGGCAGAAAGGGAAGGAAGGTACACTTTACATTTGGAAAAGATGTTTACAAAAATCATGCCAGAATCTAAAACTCTTCTTACTCTCCAGCTGTAGCCCTATTACGTAGGATAAGCTTTGTATTGCATGGGTTTTTCCCTCTAGCCATGAGCCTGGTTCTTGTTTTAATTAAAACACAAGCTGTATATTGGTATAAAAAAACAGAACTTTTTGCCTTTACCCAATGAGACAAAACACAGAAGGCAACCAAATTATTTTGAAGTTTCCCAGGCTTGAAAATAATGTGCATCCTTTGCAAAATGCAGAGTATAAACTATGCATGCTTGAAACCGTGCCATCTGAAAAGGCAGAACATTGTGCAGTAACTGCAGGACTCTGAGAGAGATGATGAGAGACTCTGAGAGAGACACACATGAACACAAAGGTTCAAAACAAGGTTTTTCTGTCACTTCAAATGGGTTTACAGATTTTTTTTTTTCTGTAGTCCTATGGGAACCAGACCCCTCTATTGATAAAACAAAAACTTCTGGAATCCCTCGGAGCCATAGTGTATTTGTTTATTAAGAAAATACAATTTGCTACTCTCAAAAATAGTATTACACATAAGAGTAAGGCAAGCAAAGGCTGCACCATGACCCAGCTGAAGGCTGCCGTTCACAGGCACCACATCAGAGCTGCTGAGCTACACACTGAGACTGTGCTTTAAGTCAGTTACCTCCATCAAGCCTCACATCAGCGCTGGGAGTCAGACTTTTGCTTCTGCTTCTCAGATGAGAAATTCGAGGGCTGTATGACTCCCCCAAAGGCACTGATAGGTGGCAGGGTCAGGACTTAAATAGCAAAGTGTTTGACCACGTCTTTCTTCCCCTTCTGAGCAGCTGAGTCGAGTGATCTCTGGGCCAGTTGCTTCACCCATCTCTCTCCCTATTTGGCACTGACATGATTACAAATTACTTCCTGGTATACGTGATAAGTAAATAAAGCCAGCTGAAAGGAACTTAATTAAGTCTCTTAATTTTACTCCACCTTGAGCTTCTTTTCTGCAAGTGGATAATCTACTTGTTTTGTATTTTTATGAGTAAAACATGAAAATGTATGCATAAGCATATGCATACATGTGAATACACACATGTGCATAGAAATATAAACATGGTACTCATACCATGCATGCAAATATCTTTGCACAGATAGAAATGGGTGAAGTGCTCTTCTCTGTGTGAGAATCATGTTGCCTTCCATAGAAGCCTGACTTGCAACTTTGCTGAAAATTGACATTTTTTTGGCAATCGCATAACTTACTTTTTGTGCAGGCCAAACATGATCAAGATACATAAGTGTCCTTCATTTTACTATCCCCGTTAGTCCTTGTCTTTGCAACCTAAAGTAAAAACGTAAAATTATATAGGTTCATTTTCCTGAGGTGCTTGAAGTAGCCATACTGTCTGGTAGAATAATACATGCTTATAGAACACTAACCTCACTTTTACTACATTTTCAGGCCCTCACCAAAAAAAAAGACTCCTTGCAGATTAGAATAGACTTTATTTTCATCAAAATACCTACCCTTCTTTCTGCTTTGTGTGGACCACCTTTTACTTTGGTCAATCTACTAACACATCCCTCAATTTTATTACATTTCTTTTGTTGCTGTTGTTTTGGTACCAGGGATTGAACTCAGGTCCTTGCACTTATGAGGCAGGCGGTGGCGCCACTGAGCCAAATGCCCCGCCTATTACCTTTCAACTAAGACCCATTTCACAGCATGAACACCTGAAGAAAAGGATAGAGTGTCCACCATGTGTGGACACTGGCGATGAGGTGGGTGTGTAAAGAATACAGCTTTGCCTGCAGTTAGATATGGAACGGAATATGAAGACATTCAAGGTGCTGAGAACCTGGCTTGGCCTTCCGCTCCCGTGAGAAGTCTACCTCCAATACGAACATCCTGTTATACCCTTTTCCACTCTTCCTAGAAAGTGACTGGTTTTCATGTGCCCTTGGGCCGTCTCAGTCCCTCCTTCACATCCTTTCAAGCCGTTGCCCTGCCTTTGTCCAAATTAAAACTTTCCTTAGTGCTTCTCATATGATCTGTTTTCAGCAGCTATTTGAAAGGCCCATATTTTGGTGTTTTTTTCAGTGTC